CTGGAAAGGCTATTCCACTCAACTCTCAACTCACCTTCAAACTCCTGAAGCAGAGGAATTTGTGATGAAACCCACTTTGAACTTAGAGAAGGGAGGAGAGAATTCCCTGACCAAATTGTGAGCCAATCATTATAAGAGTGTCCTAAAAGGGCTAAGGGAGCATCTGGGTGGTGGTTGTTGTTGTCAGGTGCCATTGAGTCATCTCCGACTCATAGTGACCCTACGCACAGCAGAATCTGGGTGATATAAATGGTTAATGCGCTCAGCAGCTAATTGAAAGGTTTATGGTTCAAGTCGACCCAGAGGCACCTCAGGAGAAAGACCTGGATACCTACTTCCAAAAACTTAGCCATTGAAAGCTCTGTGGAGCCCAGTTCCATTATGACACACCTGGGGTTACCATGAGGTAGAATCAACTTGACAGCAACTGGCTTGGGGGACACTTGTGGTTCAGTGGTAAAATTCTCACCTTTCAACCAGAAGACCCAGGTTTGATTCCCAGCCAGTGCATCTCATACACACCCATCATTTGTCTGTCAGTGAAAGCTTGTGTGTTGATGTGATGCTGAACTGGTTTCAGCACAGCTTCTCAACTAAAACAGACTAGGAAGGAAGATCTGGTGAGCTACATCTGAAAATCAGCCAATGACCACTCTGTAGATCACTAAGGCCCCACCCATCCTGCTGTGCATTAGGTCAGCATGAGTCTGGGGCCCCAAATGATGACAGCTGACAGCATCAACAAAAGACTTGACCCATGAGATTTCCCCAACTACAGTCTGTTTGCATTTTCCTCTTACACTCTTCCTGTCAAATGAAAGTATAGGATGGTCACTTCCACTTCTGCCCCAATCCTGGAGGGGTGATCTGACTGGTCAAACCCAGTTTGCTGGTAGCCAGCATGCTCAAGGGGGCTTCACCACCACAGCTTCAATGAGTCCCCAGGGCAGCTGGGCCTGGGGTCATGGGTGCCGGAGAAGGGAAGGGGCACATTCCAAGGCCCTGTCTCACCAGGTCCCATGCCCTTGGCTGCCTGTTGTGATTGTAGCAGAGGAGCCAAGGACTTGCACTGCTAAATAAACCCAAGGACTGGTCCCCAAAGGCATGTGTTTGTAATGCAGGTACAAACTGTTTCCATAGGACCAACCTCATTCTCCATTCCCTCTGGGAGGGGGGCGGAGCAGGGAAAAGCTACATGGGCCAGAGAGGCAGATGGAATGCTGTTTTCCCTTTCCTCTTTTCCTCTTCCCCACACCCCAGCTGGGCACTCTTGAAAGAGAAAATCCTCAAACATGCAAGAACCAGTTGTTTCCTCTTAAAAACCCTTCAGAAAAGGACACCCCAGCATTCCTTGAGGCCTTACTTGCTCTGGGGTCTTTGTCCAGTCGGAAAGTGATATCTAATATCTAATCTTAAAGAACCACCACTCATTTGTCAGTTTGTCATATTGCAGTGGCTTGTGTGTTGCTATGAGGCTGGAGACTATGCCACCGGTATTTCAAATACCAGCAGGGTCACCCATGGTGGACAGGTTTCAGCAGAACTTCCAAAATTCCAAACTAAGACAGACTGGGAAGAAAGAAGGGACCATCTACTTCTCAAAGAATTGGCCAGTGAAAACCTTATGAATAGCCATGAAACACCCAGGCCATGGTGTTTTCAATCACCTCATATGCATGTGAAAGCTGGACAGTGAATAAGGAAGACCAATGAAGAGTTGATGCCTTTGAATTATGGTGTTGGCGAAGAATACTGAAAATACTAGCTGTTGCATTTGGTAAATTGTGGTCAATGTCATGAGACAAAGTGTATGTGTGAACTGCTGTATGGAAAGTGAATTTGCTCTGTAAATTTTCACCCAAATCACGATTAAAAAAATAAAAATTAAAAAAAAAATACCATGGACTGTCAGAAGAATGAACAAATCTGTCCTGGAAGAAGTATAGCCAGAATGTGCCTTGGAAGCGAGAATGGCCAGACTTTACCTCACCTACTTTGGTCATGTTGTCAGAAGGGACCGTTCCCTGGGGAAGGACATCATGCTTGGTAAAGTGGAGGATCAGCAAAAAAGGGGAAGGCCCTCAGTGGATGGACTGACACGGTAGCTGCAACAGTGAGCTCAAGCATAGCAAGGTTTGTGAGGATGGTGCAGGACTGGGCAGTGTTTTGTTCTGTTGTACACAGGGTTGCTATATGAGTCGGAGCCAAATTGACGGCACTTAACAACAACCAAAAAAAAATCCTAGAGAATCCTGCTGCTCCCATGCTAGGCCTGCTTCTCTGCTAGGAGTTCTCAATAAGGCCTCAGACTTTACACAACTTTGTAGAGGACGAGCTGGAGTCCCATGGGGATGCAGGGTGGGGCATACCGCATGTGGCAGCTCTGCTGACTCAGCCCCACAGCCTCCCCCAACAACTCCTCAGGTCTGTGTGGTCAACACAGAGTTGCAGGATCCTAGGTCTTGAATCTGGCAGAGTCCTCCAGAGGTCAGCTGGCCCAGGGGATTCCAGGGCTGCCCACAGAGAGCTGCATGTCCTTAGTAACGCTTTTACTAGAAAAATAAAGGCAGTATTGTGAATTCACATTCAATATTCTCTTAAGTCTCCCTCACTTCTTTATGGTTAGTTCTTTTTTATTTCAATGATATGATGATGGTAGATTGGTGGCAGTGATGGCTGCCATCTAGTTGGGCCCCAGCTCATGGCGACCCCACACAATGGAACAAAATGCTGCCTGGTCCTGTGCTATCCCCATCATCAGCTGCACTTTGGACCACTGTGATAGATACAGTTTCCATCAGCTGATTTTTGGAAGCAGATCACCAGGCCTTTCTTCCTAGTCTGTCTTAGTCTGGAAGCTCCACTGAAGCCTATTCAGCATCATAGCAACACACATGCTTCAACTGACAGGTGGGTGGTGGCTGCACTTGAGGTGCACTGGCTGGGAATCGAACTTGGGTCTCCCTCATGGGAGGTAAGAGTTCTACCACTGAACCACCACTGCCCCTGATGATGATAGGCCATACCAAAAACCAAGCCCACTGCCATCAAGTCAAAGCTGACTCATAGCAACCCTACAGGACAGAGTAGAACTGCCCCATAAGGTTTCCAAGGCTGTAAATCTTTATGGAAGCAGACCACCTCATCTTTCTTCCACAGACCAGCTGGTCTGTGCGGGTTCAAACCACAAACTTTTTGGTTAGCAGCCCAATGCTTTAACCACTGTGCCACCAGAGCTCCTGATGATAACAAGCAGAATTTATAAATACCCTGACTGGTAAAATAAAATGTTAACAACTCTATGTTGGTCTTCCCAACATTTTATTCTTTGACAATGTATTGTTGTTGTTGTTGTTAGGTGCCATTGAGTCAGTTCCAACTCATAGCGACCCTGTGTACAACAGAATGAAACACTGGCCAGTGCTGTGCCAGCCTCACAATCCCTGCTATTCCTGAGTCCATTGTTGCAACCACAGTGTCAATCCATCTCACTGAGGGCCTTCCCCTTTTTTGTTGACCCTTCACCTTACCAAGCATGATATCCTTTTCCAGGGAACTGTCCCTTCTGACAACATGACCAAAGTAGGTGAGATGAAGTCTGGCCATTCTCACTTCCAAGGAGCATTCTGGCTGTGCTTCTTCCAGGACAGATTTGTTAGTTCTTCTGGCAGTCCATGGTCCTTTCAGTAATCTTCACCAACACAACAACTCAAAAGCATCAACTCTTCTTTGGTCTTTCTTATTCATTGTTCAGCTTTCACATGCTTATGAGGTGATTGAAAATACATACCATGGCTGGGTTAGGCGCACCTTAGTCTTCAAAGAGATGTCTGTCCTTGCTCTTCAGCACTTTAAAGAGGTCTTTTGCAGCAGCTGTGCCTGGTGCCCAGCAGACTTGCCCATCGTCTGATGTCATGACTGCTGCTTCCATTGGTGTTGATTGTGGAACCAAGTAATATGAAATCTTTGACAACTTCAATCTTTTCTCCACTTATCATGATACTGCTTATTGGGCCAGTTGTGAGGATTTTCGATTTCTTTATGTTGAGATGTCACCATACTGAAGGCTGTAGTCTTTAATCATCAGCAAGTGTTTCAAGTCATCCTCACTTTCAGCAAGCAAAGTTGTGTCGTCTGCATATTGCAGGTTGTTAATGAGTCTTCCTCCAATCCTGATGCCACGCTCTTCTTCATATAGTCCAGCTTCTCAGATTTGTTCAACATACAGATTGAATAAGTATGGTGAGATGATACAACCCTGACACACTCCCTTCCTGATTTTAAGCCATGCACTATCCCCTTGTTCTCTCCAAACAACAGCCTCCTGGTCTATGTACAGGTTCCTCATGAGCACTCACGAGCACATTAGTGATGATGTATTAGCTTATACAATTTCAGTATCTGAGAACCACTGAGTGAGCCCCTTGGAAGTTAGGGAAAGATGAGTGAGGCACTGGCGTCACGTGCAAAATGTAAGGGGGTGCCAAAGAAAAACTCCATAATCAAGATAATAAATATGTTAATATTATATATATTTTTTAAAAATCAAAATGAGTAAAAAATTTCATAATGAACTAAGTATCAAAATTTTAAATGAAGACAGGATCAGCATTACTGATTTTTCCTTTTGCCTCAGACTCCAATAGGGTTCAGCAGGGCACTACTGGAAGAATTTCTTCTAAATCACCCCTGACAGAGTAGGGCAATTCTAAGCCTGAGAATCTTCTAGGGGAGGAACTGCCAGGCCTTCTCAGGTGTTCACTTTGGTCCCTCACCATCCTGAAGCTTTGAGTCTGATGTCAACCCCTTCTCTGCAGCTGGAACCTGATTCCCTCTTACAATGTCCTCAATGGGGACATCCACCTCACTCTCCCAAACCTTGACTGTCCTTCTGAGGCTCAAGGGCAGTTATGTAAGTGCTCCTCATGCTTGTCCCCATACTCACGCCTTTCCCTCTACAGCCAGCTCTTCATGTTTATTTTTCTTTTCTGAACTCTTAGGAAAGCAAGCAAGTGGAGACCAAGACTGATGCCAAGAACGGAGAGGAAAGGGGCAGAGATGCCAGCAAAAAAACCCTGGGCCCCAGACGGGACTCTGACCTGGGGAAGGAGCCAAAGAGAGGTGGCTTAAAGAAAAGCTTTTCCAGAGACAAAGATGAAACTGATGGCAAAAATGATGAGAAGCCCAAGGAGGAGAAGATCATCAGGGGCATTGACAAGGGCCGGGTCAGGGCTGCAGTGGACAAGAAGGAGGCAGGCAAGGATGGCAAAGGAGAGGAGAGAGTCATGGCCACAGGCAAGGAAGATGAGAAGAAAAGGAGTGACAAGAACACAAGTTTGAGCAGAGACAAAGATAAGAAGAGAGAGGAGATGAAGGAGATAACCAAGAAAGAGGATAATGTGAAGGTAAAAGGAGAAAGTAGGAGCCCAGACACCAAAAAAGAGGATGAGAAGATGAAAAGAGGAAGTGGGAACACAGACACTATGAGAGAAGATGAGAAGGCAAAGAAAGAAAGTGGAAACAAAGATACAAAAAAGGAGGATGAGAAAGTCAAGAAGAACGAATCCCAAAATGAAAAGGAGCCCAAGGAAGAGAGCAAAACCAAAGCACCAGAGGGAAGCAATTCTGAGAAACATGCCCCCGGAGGCCCCACCAAGCCCTGTGAAGGGCCTGCCAAGGTGGAGGAGGAAGCAGCTCCCAGCATATTTGATGAGCCTCTGGAGAAAGTGAAGAACAATGATCCGGAGATGACTGAAGTGAATGTCAACAACTCAGACTGCATCACAAATGAAATCTTGGTCCGGTTCACTGAGGCTCTGGAGTTCAACACTGTGGTCAAGGTGTTTGCCCTGGCCAACACACGAGCTGACGACCATGTGGCCTTTGCCATCGCCATCATGCTCAAAGCCAACAAGACCATCACCAGCCTCAACCTGGACTCCAATCACATCACAGGCAAAGGCATCCTAGCCATCTTCCGGGCTCTCCTCCAGAATAACACGCTGACGGAGCTCCGCTTCCACAACCAGCGACACATCTGTGGTGGCAAGACAGAGATGGAGATCGCCAAGCTGCTCAAGGAGAACACCACCCTGCTCAAGCTGGGCTACCATTTTGAGCTGGCTGGACCCCGAATGACTGTCACCAATCTGCTCAGCCGCAACATGGACAAGCAGCGACAAAAACGACTGCAGGAGCAAAGGCAGGCACAGGAGGCCAGTGGAGAGAAAAAGGATCTGCTAGAGGTGCCCAAGGTGGGCACCCCAGCCAAGGGCTCCCCCAAGCCCTCACCCCAACCATCTCCAAAGCCTTCTCCAAAGAACTCACCCAAGAAGGGGGGTGTTCCAGCTGCCCCACCCCCCCCTCCACCTCCCTTGGCCCCACCCCTTATCATGGAGAACCTGAAGAACTCACTCTCACCAGCCACCCAGAGGAAGATGGGAGACAAAGTCCTCCCTGCCCAAGAGAAGAACTCACGTGACCAGCTCTTGGCTGCCATCCGTTCCAGCAACCTCAAGCAGCTCAAGAAGTTAAGTAGTTTGGGGCATGGGCCAACAAGGCTGGGGCTGGACAGGGGCTTGGAGAAGAGGGCAGGGCTACGAAAGAGAGGGATGCAGAGGGAGTTCACGTCAGGCTGCAGATGATATATAGACTCCCAGGGGTGACAGGGAACTTCAGGTCATCTCATCCTCCTACCTCCAGGCAGATGCACCAGTATCTCCCTTAGAGGTAAGACTATATGCTTACTTTAAAGGAGCTTCCTTCAGCATCTCACTCCCATATCTTATCCCTCCATACTGCAGTTAAATCTGTTTGTCCTATTGACAGAAAAGCAGCCTCAACATGCAGTTCTGCCTCAGGCCCTTCCTCTAAGTCTTCTCTTCTCCACCATGATCTTTGTTTTATTTAATTTCTTCTCAGGGCCAGCCATGACCTACAGATCAGTTTATCCCAAAGGGCTTTGGGAGATTTGCTATTTGACTAACCACTGCCATGGACATAAACCACTCCTGGAAGCCCTACTTCTCAAAGCCTCATCTCCCTAGAAGCCCTGCCTAGGTGGCAAAGTCCATGGCTAACTGCCCTTGTGACTGGATGGTGGCAGCTGACCCTACCCTCACAGTATCACTTGGGATTAGGTATCACAAGAGAAAGGACAATCTCAATTGTAATTACAGTGGTTATTGATGCTACCCAATTTTTACAGAAAAGGAAAAATGTTCCCTCTGTGTCAACACCTCATTTATTAATTCCACAGACATATATTGACATATCTGATATGTAGTCCTTCCAAAAGGAAAGTGAAAAAAAAAAAAAAAGAGTTCAACTCATTACAGTCAAGTCGATTGCAACTCATAGCAATCCCACCCAAGGTGGTATCTCTACAGAAGTAAATTGCCCAACCTTTCTTCCAAGGGGTGGCTGGTGCTTTGAACCGCCAACCTTCTGGTTAGCAGTCAAATGCCTTAGAAACCACACTATCAGTTCCAGAGGCCCCTGCCAAGTTCCCTTTTCTAACCTGTCTCTGTTTTACTCCTACAGGTGGAAGTGCCCAAATTGCTTCAGTAGGACTAGGTTGCTGGGCCTCACCTCCCAGGGCTACACAGACCCCACCTGCTCCACCCTTGACCAATCTTCTGTGGATGTCCCTGTTCTGCCATGGGAGAGCTTTGAAACCGGGCCACGCTCAAGGAAGGATGCCTTATCTCTTCTCACTTTCTTTTTCTTGTATCTGAGGCTCTCCAAAAATTTCTTTTTTACTTGGAGTTCAGGTTTCTGGACAAGAAGAGTCCTTTTAGCATGTCACTGAGAAGATGGCACTGTCCTGGGCCCATGCAGCTGGCAAGCTGTGGAAGGCCTATGATCCAGGAGTGATGTCCCTCGGGAACCACATAACCACCCCAGCCCCACTGCCCTCTAGGGCCAGGATTCAGGCCTCTGAGGAGTCCTTGGGGCAAAGCTGCTGGGCAGTGGAACTCTGTGTGGGATAATGGCAGGAGGAACTGAGAGGGTATAGGACCTCATGAGGAAGTGGGGAGGGCTGAGGATACCCCCAAACCCAAACCCTTCATTCTGTGAGCCCAGGCTAAGCAGAGGATGTGGAGGGGCAGCTGCCCTGGATGGACAGTGCCTAGTGGGGAGTGGGCTGCAGAGAGGAGGAGAGGGACAGATAACAGCTGGACCTGAAGGTCTGATGCCAAAGCAGACATTTTCCTCACACCCATCTGCTGTTGTATAAATTGCTGTGTATCTGTTTTTCCATAAGATTTTGATAATATATTAAAAACTTAGCTGTGAATGGCTGTGGCCACCTCTGTACTGCATCCAGGGCCCTGATGCTTACCCTTGCTGCCTGGAATCATCAGCTGGAGCCACTCTTGGGGTGATGAGGCAGAGTGGAGCACTGGGATGGCTATATTAGGCATGTTCAGGGGATGCTCAGTCCATGACTCTTCCTAACTGTGGGCTCAGGGCCAGCTCCCCACAGCAGTCACAAGCCCAGGAAAACAGCCATCTCTGAGCAGGGAGAGAAGTGGAGTGACCTTTTGGGAGGCAGAACCTACACGAGTGTGGCCTAGTCACCCTCAGCCTTTCGCCTACTTCCCAAGTTCACTCCCTGCTCAAGTTGCAGGTCGCCCTCTGACTTGATAGTGCTCCCACACCCACCATCATGTGTACATCAAAGGTATCTTTCTGACTTCTGTTGGCTTGAAGGTGCAGTCCCCCCTTGGTACTGTAGAACTGCCACCTTGGACCTGGGCCACTAGTAGCTTTTTCTGTCTCCAGGCGTTGCTTCAGTGACAGGGAACAGAACAGTTTCAACATCTTTGGGGTGGAAGTGAGAGTGGGAAGTGCCCCTGCTAGGGCAGGCTGGGCCTACAAGGAGAGAGCTCAGATCCCAAGGTTTACCCTACCCCCCATTTCCCTCTACCACCTGCCTCTACTCCAGTAACCTAAGCAAGGGTTAGGCCCAGGTGGGGGAAATTAAACAACTTGTTGGCCCCTAGAACTCAAAAAGGTATTAGCTAGCACTGATGCAATGATAGGGGGAGCTCTGGTGTCATAGTGCCTAAGGCATTTGACTGCTAACCAGCAGGTTGGTGGTTCAAACCCACCAGCCACTTCTCAGAAGGAAGGTTGGGCAATCTACTTCCATAGTGATACTGCCTCAGAAACAGGGTCACTGTGAGTCAGATCCAGCTCCACGGCAGTGAGTGTGGTTTTTTTTGGTTTGGCACAATGGTTAAGCTCTCACCTACTAACCAAAAGGTTGATGGTTAAAACCCACCCAGAAGCTCCGTGAGAAAAAGATCTGGTAACGTGCTCCCATAAAGATTACAACCTAGAAAACCCTATGGGGCAATTCTGCTCTGTTGCATGAGGTCACTTTGAATCAAATGCAACTCAATGATACCTAACAAGCCCAGCCTGAGCTTCCACTTACCCTGTGCCTACCTGGCACTAGGCACTAGCTAGATGCTTTAGGTATATGGGTCAACTGATCCATACAACTCTGTGAAGTGGACACCAATAGTATCCCCATTTTGCAAATGAAATTTGGCCTGAAGAGGTTAACTCTGAACAGGTAGCTAACAAAAGGTAGAGCTCCCTTGAATTGCTTCAGGTAGCATGTTCCCTTCCTCTCTGACTGAAATCAGATTGGATACCGTGCCTCAGGAAAGCAATGGAAGCCGAACCAAACGAAGACAACCAACCCTCAAATCTTAAAACTCCAATATAACCTGTCACTGCGGGAAGCCCTTTCTACCAAACTTAGAAGACAAAATTGAGGCAGGGAAAAAAAAATCCCTATCCTCAAGCAAAAAGGAGCAGTGACGCTCTTCTGATGAATACTGTCCCAGCCCAGGATGATGTTGTTATTCCTCTGGTACATTTGAACCAAATTTAACAAGGGTAAACACTTTTCTGTGTAGGGGAGCAGGGCTGTGGGCAGCCAGCCTTACCACCCCAGGAAGAAAGTGGTCAGAGGCGGCAAGGGCATCTTGCTCACGGGAGCGCTGCGCCTCCTGCGGGCAGAACGAGTCCTAGGTTCTCCTACCGTCCCAGAGTGCCCCGAGCTGCGCTGCTGGCCCCGGGAGCTGATGGGAGTAGGGAGTGAGGCGATCTCCATCCCGCAGGACCCTGAGGACATCCAATCGGGTGTCTCTCATTCCGCCTAGCACGTGGGCTGAGGCAGAGTGCCAGCCCCACCCAACTACCGGGCGGCTTGTGAGGGTGGGGTAAGGGCTGCTATGCTTCCCCACGGCTTCGGATCCGCAGAGGAGGGCGCTAGACACAGGGTAGCTACGCGTGCTCACGGGGTTGCTAAACTGAGGGAAAGGGGCCACACTTGTGGGTGCATGACTGCGTCGCTGCTGGGCCTTGCATCCACCGCCGCCCACCTGGTTCCCACGCCCTGGCAGTCACCCTTTTGCTCAGAATTTAAGGGTGCGAGGGAGAACGGAAAAGATCAATTCGCCCCCAGCACCGGCCTTTTACTGAGAAGAAAACAAGAGATCAAATGATTTGTTCCAATTAATTAATCTGGACTCAAATTTAGATGTCTTGCCTCTCGGTCCATCCTACAGTCTGACCTCTGCAGCCTCTGCGTGCTGTCCCACCCAGCCATCTCTCCTCACTCCCATGGGACACCTTCGCTGTCTCCAGCCCCCTAACGAGGGGCGGCTTCGCATCCAGCTCTCCCGCGGACAGGATGAACCTGCACCCAATTTGCATCTCGAGCTTCCCGCTTACTGTCCATGTCCCTGTAGAATAAGCGCCTTTCCACGGTCCCCCAACACCAGGGCTAGAACCAAGACGCCAGCGCTGGCCTTAGCGAGATGGCTGGCGCTGAGGGCGAGCGGCTGATGCCACGCCCGACTTCTCGGCGAAGGAGTTCGAAGTGCACTGAATCGAGGCGCTACTGGCTTGGCGCTGAGTTACTGGACCTCGGGGCATTTTAAGAGGCACAAGATTCGGAAGCAGGTACCCACCGACAGGCTTGATGTCCTGTATCGCACGTCACCGCCGGGCGCGTGGGCTACCACACACTTCCCACTCATGGCCAGGGCAGGGACAGCATTCCTTGGATCCCTGGTCCCGCCCCCACCCCTTTCCTAATCCCACCACCCCTACCCTCTCACTCCTAGCCTAAAGTACTCTCCCACTCTCTTCCTCTCCAATCTCCTCTTGATCCCCTTTCCCTCCACGGTATTTCTCTCCCCTTGCTTGCTAACCTTTCCTGTGACCCCAATTGTACTTCCTTGTATCCCTGCCCTGGCTGTCTCCCTGCACCGGAACTCCTACAATCCCCTCTTGAGCTCTGCCTCCCTCCGCTCCCTGCCTGAGCAGGTCCTAAGAATGCAGTTCAGTTGTTCTTGTAAAAAGTCCCTCTTCTCCATCTAAGTCTCTTAGAACAACTCCCCCTCCCCCAATACTCAATATCCCTCTCAGTCCAATAAGACCCTATTTACCCAAAGGGGTCCCCCAATCCTTGAAGGCTGCTCTCCCCTCAAACCCCAAACACCTGCCTGCCCTTGTCGGATGGCTGATTGGCTTTTGCAGGGTTCTGGTTGAGGAACAGGGAGGCACATAACAACAACAACAACAGGGAGCTCTGGTGTGTAGTGCCTAAGGCATTAGACTGCTAACCAGAGGGCTGGCTTTGCATACCCACCAGCCACTCCTGGGAAGGAAGGTTGGGCAATCTACTTTCATAGTGATACTGCCTTGGAAACCCAAGGAGGGGTTGCTATGCATTGGATCCGACTCGAAGGCAGTTGAGTTTGGTTTGGTTTGGTTTGGTTGAGGAACAAGGTAACCCAAAGGGACAGTAACAGGTCTGTACTCCCTCTGGTCTTTGTTGGTGATGTTGTTCCCCTGGTGATGAGCCTGTGGGGGTAGGGTCAGAGGAGACTCTAGTGCTTTGGGATGGATACCAGAGTGTTGCCCCATTAAGAAGTCTATGTCCTCTCTGCTCAGAGCATATGAAAGCCCCACTCGTCAAGTTTCCTCTCTTTCCTTAGAATTTTATTTTCAGTGCTTTGCAGAGTTAATTTATTGGAAATATTGGAAGGGGTCTGGCCAGTAGCTGTGACTCGGGTAAATCTGCCTCCCCCCCCCCCAGACTACAAAGCAATTTTTAATTTGCGCCAGGCTTTTGATTCAAGGGTAATTCATTTTGATTGTCATGACTTTGCATAAATTTATGCACTCATTTCTCAGTGCACATCTCCACCTCCCAGCTCCAGGAGAAGACTGGGCTCCTGACCTGGAGATGAGCTGGTGACCTTCTCCTGGATTGTGAAGGCAGAAAGGGACTCAAAGCCTGAACACTCTTGGTGCTCCAGCTCTGTCCCCACCAACCTCTGCTGTCCTTCCCTGTCTGGGTCAGGATCAAGGGGCAGATATTTGGGTCCCTTGAAGATTTCACTGTGAATCCAGGGGCAAAGTCAAAGTCCCCAGTTCTGCCCATGGGAAGAGTTTCTGACTCTGGCCCCAAAAATAGCTGGCCCAGGAGCTACTGCTTGGAGGAGGGCAGTGTGCAGAGTTCACAGGGCAGTGTGAACAGAGCTTCCTGAGATAGTGGGGGTGGCAGAGGGCCCTGAGGACATGGTCGGCACACCAGCCAATTCAGAACAAAGCTAGAAGACACTGCTGGAGCCCAGCGGTCTGAGGAAGAAACCTGAGGGGCAGCACAAGAGAGCTGGACACAAGGCTGAGGTGTGGGGAGAACTGAGGAAGAGGCAAGGAAAGCAGTTAGCCCAGGAGGCGGGCCTAGGGGAAAGGAGGGCTGATGGTGGCTTTGCCAAGCTGATCTGGCATTTGTCCCAGTTAAATTAAAAACTATTACTTTTCACCCTGTTATCACCAGACAGTTACTGAGCATGCAAGGACTACATCCCGAGAGCAAGGCAAGGGGCCCAACCAGATGCCCAGGCAGCATCAGGGGTGGGGGCACCTACTTCCTACTCCTAGATTGTCTCTTCTTGGCAGAATTTGTGAGAGAAGGAGGATAACAAAGTCATGTCCTCACTGCCTGGCCCGATGTGAGGGGCACTGAGGGGGGTTTAGGAGAGCTGGTGTCTTAGGGTTCCTGAGGACCCAAGGCAGCTGACAGAAGTACCTTGTCTTTCACACCAGTCTCTTAGGCCTACTACTCCTGATCCAGAAACTAACAGGACTAACAGTTCCATCTACACTACATGATAGCCAGGACATCTGGAGTTAAGTATTATCTCCACTTTATAAAGGAGCTCTGGTGGTTCAGTGCCTAAGGCACATGACTGTTAACCAGAGGGTCTGCAGTTCAAACCCACCAGCCACTCTGTGGAAGGAAGATGGGGAAATCGACTTCTGTAAAGATTTATCACCTCGGAAAACCAATGCGTTATGAGTCGGAATCAACTCGATGGCAGTGGGTTTGGTTTTTGGTTTGGTTATAGAGGAAGAAACTGAGACTTGGAGCCTTTCAGAGATATGGCAAGGGTCAGATGATGGTAGAGTCCAAATTCAAATCTAAATGTACCTGAATGAGATCCCTGGGTGGTGCAAACTGTTTGCACTTGACTGCTAACTTATAGTTTTGCAGTTCAAACCCACCCAGCAGTACCACGTAAGGAAGGTGTGGCAATCTGCTTCAGTAAAGCTTACAGCCAGAAAACCCTATGAAGAGTATAGTTCTACTCTGTAACACATAGGGACACTATGGGTTGGAATCCACTCAACTTGCAACAGGTTTGTTTTTATTGTTGGTACTGAATAGGGGTGCCTTTGTACAGGTGGCAGAGCCTTAGATGGTTGAGGCGGCCTGATCTCTACTGGGAAACCTCAGTAATGCAAATAAGCACCCTCCTCCCAAAACCAAAACCCACTGACATGGAATCGATTCTGACTCACAGTGACCTTATAGGACACTATAGGGTTTCCGAGGCTGTAAATCTTTACAGAAGCAAACCGCTTCCTCTTTCTCCCGCGGAGTGAATGGTTGGTTTGCACCACCAAACTTTTGGTTAACAGCTGAATGCCTTAGCTACTGCACCACCAGATCTCCTTCCCTTCTTCCCAGCTGTGGCAAAATCTACCTCATTGGCTTTGGGAACCAGTCTAAGGACCCTCAGCCTCTGGCGGTTGTGCCTGTAGATGTGATTAGGATGGTGCTGTACCCCAGCCCTGCTGCATGTCCTATTCCCCCGCTTTTGGAAAATGGAGCCACAGCAGTCTGGCTCAGTTGAAGACAGTGCTACTAGGTGTGGATGGGCTGAATGATGGGACAGGCATGAGTTGTATCTTTACAGCTTTAATCCAGCAGCCAGAGCCCTGGCCAGTGGGGCAGCCAGAGAGGAAGGCTACTTCTGACTACTGATAGAGCCTCCCCATGCCACCACCCCATCCTAGAGTGGGCAAACAGGAGGGACCCTAGCCTTCCTGGCTGGGATCCTGGGAGTAGAGGAACTATTTGAAAGCAGGAGCTGTGACCCAGGCAGTCATCTCCTTCCCTTGCCCTCCAATAAAAATAAGTCTGCTAATCCAGAGCCCTCCCCACTGACCCCTCAATCATGGCCTAGTTCCAGCTCAGTTCCTGTTCCACTTCCCTGGGGCTCTGTCCTCAGTGGGACCCAGGGCTTGGCTTAGTCTGGGGCCTGATGACTAGAGGACCTCTGCCCACCCCCAAGGTCAGATGCAGATACAGGATGGGGCATCTCCCAAGGTTGGTGTCACTGAAGAGGCAGTAGAGACACAGCTGGTTCCTCAGGCTCCAGGGTAGGAGGGCTGTGGTGGCACGTAGGGGGGAGGAGCTGAAAGCAAGGAAACAGAGAGAGGGTCAGTGGGGGGATGAGGAGCTATGAAACACCACACCTCACCTTCTCCCGCTCTCCTCCACAGCATGCAGGATCTGTGGGCAAGAGTTAGCCTGAAGGTTTCAAGCTCAAGGTGGGGGCAGTCTGGGAGAGGGAATATCTAGGGTGAGAGAGGGATGGGGAGGTCTCAGAGCAGGGGTTGAGGAGTAGGCAGGAGTGAGGAGGCTCCAGATTGCTTACTTACCTGCAGGGTTGTAGATAGGGGGCCCAGCTGGGTAGAATGGATACTGTGGAGCTGGACCACTAGGTGGGTACATGAAGCCAGGCTGTGGAGGTGCAGGGCCAGCTTTGGGGTCTTGGGGGTATGGGTATACTGGCTGCACTGGGATGCCTGTCATCGGAATCTCCTGGCCTAGGTGGGGGACAAGGATGAGCACTCAGAGCTCGACCTCCTGTGGAAAGCCTTCTCCTCCTGTCCAGGAAACCCAGGTAAGCACCCTGGCACCGCTGCCCTCTTGCTGACTCCAAGTTGACCACCTGCTGCCTTTGGCTCCCACTTGGCAGAGTTCAGCAGGGAGCTGTGCAGGTGACCCCAGGTGGTCTCTCTGTGTTTAGCACATTTGCTCCCTTCAGTATGTCTTAGAGACCTCATAAACCAGACAGCACAGTCCAGAGGGAATGCCCCACTTGGGCAAGGAGGGGACAGCTTCAGAGGCTAGTATCTCTTGATCCAGCAGAGCTTCACCAAGGGGGTCCTCCCCCAGCCCTTCTTTCCCACACTGACCCCTCCATATGGTGTCATAGTCCCCATGTCTCAACAGATTTGGGCATATGTGACAACACTCAGGCACACGTTCCACTGTACACTGGAGCACACCCTATATTCACTGCCATAGACCCCATGGTCCCCTCGGTGGCGCAAATGGTTAAGCACTCAATTACTAGCCAAAAGGTTGGTGGTTCAAACTCATCCAAAAGAGCCATGGAAGACAAGATTGGCAATCTGCATCTAAAAGGTCACACCTTGATAACACTATGGAGCAGCTCTAGTCTGCCACATGGGGTCACCATGAGTCAGAATCGACCCGATGCCAACCCACAGCAACAACAACAGCCATACACCTCATCTGGTTTGTGTACTTAGTAGAAGTCATGTGCATGCATAGACCCACTGCACACACATGTGCACAGGCTACTGTGGAAGACTGCCCCCCAGTGCACATTTGATATTCCTGTGCATACACATACTTGTACACACATTCCAATGTTTAGATGTGCCCCTGGGCACATTCTAATGTTCATGGGCCTACAAGCATACTTCTGGGCTTACACGTTGGTAGGTGTACGTATACAGAAGCACATACTACTACAGAATTAATAAATTCTGGAACTCTCTGGTGCCCACTATGAGGTTCATCACAGCTCATCTCAGGCCTATCTTGCCCAGTACTGTGTGTACCTTCAAAGGGGCTCTGCAGCTGCTGGCGCCGGCGGTACAGGTAGCAACAGGAACAGAGGAAGCAGCAGATGGTGGTGGCAACCACAGCAACAAAGAGGATCACGGCTGAGGCGATGCCTGCTATGGTCTTGGGACTTTAGACAAAGAACAGGTCCTCTCACCTTCCGACACTCATAGGAGGGCGTCCTCATTATGGTGACCACAAAACTGTGCTCCAACTCATGGCCAGCAGGGGGCCACAACATGCTGGGATTTGGCGTTCCTTGTGGGGTTCTGCCCAGTGGCTGTCCCTGTGGAGGAGATCGTAGGGGACCTCCACTTCCCAGAGGGCTCTGCTGCCTGACTGGCTAATGTGAGCATGCCGGGATTTGTAGTGCTTCCCCCACCCTAATTACTCCTACGTTTTCTTCAACTTGATTGATTAGATTTACAGCATGTTATCACAGGGGTGGGGGCTTAATAGACAGCCATCTTTTTCAAACCTCAATTCAATCATAGTTATTAGCAGTCCTCTTCAAAATGAAGTCTGGAGACCACTAATTTTGTCAGCCTCCTCATTTTATAAAGAGGAAGCAATGACCTATAGAAGGAACAGTACTGGGGATGTCACACAGTTAAGTAAAAAGTGGACCTGGGAATCAAACCCAGCTCTCCTGCCTACTTGCTAGAGCTTTATTCACAAAGCTACACTGCAGTCGGGTGTTAACTCTGTACCCACCCTCCACAGGACACCATGAAGGGGAGGGCTCCAGAAAGCACTTGAAACCACTTAGACCAACCCAAGCTTCTGATGGGACTTCCAAGTCTCACCACTAACCATCCAGCTTCTATCATCAAGCAAGGGTCCTGGGTTTCAACTAGAGTGTGGAGATGGACAATGGAGAGCAGGCAGGGGGCTGGGAGGGAGCAAAGAATGGCCCAGGGAGGCCTCCTGGGACAAGGATATGGAGAAAGGGGTGTGGGTGAGGATGCAGGAGCCCACCTGAAGGCCAGGCAGTGCTTCTGCTGCCTCTCTGTGATAAGCAAGGTCAAGTCCCTGCAGCAGTACCGCTGGTAGCAGGTCCCGCAACAGAAGGTGAAGAACTCGCAGTCAAAGCCGGGATGCCAGGAGCCATTCCGGTCCATGTACCACAGGCAGTCCTCTCCGGCCAGCGCTGCAGGCAGGGGTGGGGATGCCCAGTGGTCGCCAGGCCAGTTCATCTCCAGCCATCCCTAGCCCCACTCTCCCATAGTCCCCAGGCCGCTGGCTCCTAGACACTAGGGGCTGCCTTCCGGTCTCCATCTTGCTGGTCGCAGCCCCCAGAGGCCTCTCCCTAGACTGACCCCGTGTCTCGGGGTCAGCTTCCCATAGCCCAGCCCCGGGCCCCACTTTCCTTCCGCTCCCTGCTGACCCCCCTCCCTTGGCAGCAACTTGGGCGCACGCGGCACCACCCAGGGCCTCCGGAGAGCCCCGGGCAAGGCCCCTCTTCTGCCCACCCCCCCAGCCTCGTTCCCCATCCCCTTACCCAAGGGAGTCCCCAGCACCAAGGCGACTGCAGCGAGCTGCGCGGCCCCGCAGAGCCCCGCGGGGGCCATGGTGGGGATTGGGCGGCCAGACCCGGCCGTCGGGAAAAGGGACGGCTGGACCAAGCCGGCCGGCGGGAGCTGCGGCGGGGGCCAGCGCGGCCAGACTCGGGCTCGTCGCCTGCCTCCTCTGGGGGCGGGACTAAGCGCCCGGCCAGCGGTAACCCTGCCGGCGCCGCGCCGCGCCGCGTCGCGCCCAGGGCTCCACCCACTAGCGACGCCCACCCAGCCTGGGCTCTGGAGCTGGACGCCCATCAGCCAGGCTGACAGTGCTCTGCTCTTCCTGTTACCGACTCCACAGCAACTCTTCCCGTCCAAGACACCGTGGGCAGCACGGGCCGCCCCCACTATCCCCTCTCTGGGTGGGTTCAATCACCAGCCCTGGTCCTGGTGCCATCTCCTAATGCTTAGACCCATGGGCCAACCCTGAAGTGGCCGAGCAGGACCTTTTCCTCTCCTCCAGTGTCCAGCCAGGGACGTCTGGCGGGCGGGGATTGGGGGGTGGGGGAGGAAAGGGGAGCGGCCGGGATCCACCCCGCCCCCACTTCCAGAACACAGGGATCCATTGAGAGGCAGCTCAGAGCTGCTTTGTCCCCAGCCCTGCCCACAGGCCTGCCTCTGCCAGCTGCATTGGCTCTCTGAGATGGCCTCTTCCCCCTTTGAGTGCAAAAGGCAAGCAATCACCAACCCTTGGCCTCACAGCAAGGATGGCAGGACACTAGGGCTACCTGGGGTCCATCTAGTCAGGTGTTCTTTGGAGTGAAATCCTTTCTATCTCCACCAGGAGAACTTCTTCACAGGGAAATGCCAAAGAAATACTGCATTAGCCACCAGAGTGAAAGTTAATTACAGGTGGAGACAGTGTTTTAGGGTGGAGGGAGCCAGTCAATCTACTTACAAATTAATATGTGCACCCACTGAGTACCAGTGATTGATGCCCCATGGTACATAGAGTACCCTGACTGGGAACTGCAAATCAAACTAGAAAGGAAATCAAAAGCCTAACTTAATTCACAGCCATGGTACAGCTTTTTGCAAAGTGCTTCCACATCTACCTTGTTTAAGGTTCTCCACCAGTCCATGAGTTAAGTGAGGCTGGCACGTGTTGTTATCAACCTCATTTTACAGATAGAGAAACTAGGGCTTGAGGAAGTTAAAGGACTTGCTTAAATAATACAGCCAGTAAATGGCAGAGGCAACACTGGGAATCAAGTCTTCTAAATCTGTGTGGAGGTCCTCCCCCAACAGTAGATGGTGCAGATAATGTTTCTGGTGTTCTTGGCTGAGGGAACCAGGGCAGGGCATGGAAGGCCCAGAAGGATCTGAATAGGTTGGAGGAAGGCAGCCAAAGGACTCCCTGTGGACACTGGCCCATCCACATGGGAGAGCTGGAGTAAGGAGAGGATAGGCTCCTGCTCCAGGAAATTGCTAGTGGTCTAATGGGCTGGTGAGAGTATGTACTCACATGGGACACAGTCATAAATGTGGCAGCAGAGGGACAAAGATATCTCTCAATTTACCACCACCTACACACTGTGTCCATTCCCATCCATTTCCTCTTTCCCAGGCCACAAGCTCTGTGAATGCCTGGGCCATGCAGCTATGTTCACCATGGTCCCCAGCCCTAGTAGTAGGTGCTCAATCACTGTTGTTGACTCAGATGAACAGCTGTCCCTCCTCAAGGCTGACTCTTCTATGTGTACTCTTAACAATATTTGGACTATCTCTTCATTATCCTTTCTTTTCAGTGTTTTTAGTGTCTCCATTCTTACACTTTCTTTTCTCAAGGAACAAGAAATCTCAAGTCTCTCTTATTTAAAATAAAACCAAACCACATGCTGTCTCTCAAACCAAAACCAAACTCGCTGCCATTGGGTTGAGTCTTACTCATAGCAACCCCCATTGGTTTTCTAAGGCTGTAAATCTTTATTTAAGCAGACTGCCTTATCTTTCTTCCACGAGAAGCTGGTGCGTTCAAACCACTGAGCTTTTGGTTAGCAGCCAAATGCCTTAGCCACTACACCACTGGAGCTCCATTTTCTCCAACTAGTCTTCCTCAGAGCCTATGTTCCTATTGACACTTCCTGCATGCCATGACACCTAGCTCTCACCAACAATCCCTAGTGATTTTCTAATTGCAAACTTCTAGGAAAACATTTCAATCTATGGGGCAAGAAGTGATTAGGAAAGAAGTTGTGGAAGGCGCTGTGGGCAGGCCAGTGGGGGTGAACTGGGAGAGCTGGGGGAGCGGGCACTTCTAAGCAGGGGATACTGGAGCTTGGAGATGGAGAGTCATGGTAATAGACCTGGTTCTTGAGAGAGGCCTTGGAGAAGAATGAGGAAGGGTATTACGTAGGGGAACCAGGGAGGGACTGTGGGTCCTAGCATGGGCTTGTGCAAATCTTCAGTCCTGGAGAAGCTTCATGGCATCTTCTCCAGGTAAGGGCACACAGGAACATTCTCCCCTCACCACTCTTTTCAGTTTTCAGCCCCCAATGAAAGGGAGGGGGATTTTCATGGAGAAAGGAAGGCAGAGAGTAATCTGAGATCAGATGGGACAAAATACCAAGCTCTTCCCAGGGTGTTTGGAATATAAATAACATTTCCAGCTAATTATTAGCTCATTAACCATTTATCAAAACCAAACTCACTGCCATTGAGTTGATTCCAACTCACAGCAACCCCCTTTGGGTTTCTGAGGCAGTAAATCTTTACAGAAGCAGATTCTCCAGTCTTCCTTCCTTGGAGTAGCTGGTGGGTTTGAACCACCAGCCTTCTGGTTAGAAGTCAAGTGCCTTAGGCACTATGCCACCAGAGCTCCTTAACCATGTATCAGTTAATGTTATAAGCACTTTTACATATATAAATTTATTTATTCCTCAACTATTAGTTATCCCTATTTTACAGATCCACCATCTATTTATTAGTTGGTCATACCATGGTGGCTTATGTAGTGTTACTGTGATGCTGGAAGCTATGACAGCAGGGTCACTCAGGGTGGACAGGTTTCAGTGGAGCTTCCAGACTAAGACAGACTAGGAAGAAGGAAGAGGTGGTCCACGTCTGAAAAAATTAGCCACTGAAAACTTTATGAATAGCATAGTTGCAAATACCTTTTTTCAACAACATGAATGGCAACTATACATATGGACCTCACCAGATGAAATACACAGTGATCAAATCAACTACATCTGTGGGAAGAGATGATGGAGAAACAATACCATCAGTCAGAACAAGGCCAGGGGTGGATTATGGAATAGATCATCAATTGTTCACATGCAAGTTGAAGTTGAAGCTGAAGAAAATTAAAACAAGCCCACGAGAGACCAAATATATTCCACCTGAATTTAGAGATCATTTGAAGAATAGATTGGATGCACTGCGTACCAATGACTGAAGACTAGATGAGTTGTGGGATGACATCAAAAATATCATACATGAAGAAAGCAAAAGGTCATTAAAGAGATGGGAGAGGAAGGTCCCCGAGTGGTGCAGACAAACTGCTGTTGGCTAGTAACCCAAAAGTTGCCTGTTTGAACCCACCCATCTGCACCATGGAAAAGCCAAGTCTGGGGAGCAGCTTCTGTAAAAATTATCTGTTGATAATCTGTTCCATAATCTTCCCCTGGCCTTGTTCTGACAGATGATATTTAGCTTGTCCATCATTTCTTTCTACAGATATGGTTGATTACTGTGTATTCATTCCATCTGGTGAGGTCCACATGTACAGTTGTGTTGTTGAAAAAAAGGTATTTGCAATTATGCTACTCATAAGGTTTTCAATGGCTAATGTTTTCAGAAGTGGATCACCTTTTCCTTCTTCCTAGTTTCTGTGTGTGGAGGCAGACCACAGTAAGCCAGCCCCATGAGCAACAGAAGATGGGTGTTTGGGCCCCGGGGGCAGGCCAGGTAAACAAGCAGGATGGGGGAGACCAGGAAACGAGCAGAGAAGTTTGGAACAACTGAGGGAGACAAATCTTGTCTGTCAGTTTGTCGTACTGTGGTGGCTTAAGTGTTTCTGTGAGGCTGGAGGCTATGCCACTGGTGTTTCAAATGGCAGCAGGGTTTCCCATGGTGGAGAGGTTTCTGCAGAGCTTCCAGACTAAGACAGACTCAGAAGAAGGAGGAGGCTATCCATTTCTCAAGGAATGAGCCAGTGAAAACCTTATGAATAGCAGTGAAACACTGTCTGCTTTACTACTGGTAAACTTTATGAAGAGCCCTGAAACACACTGTGTGATATACCACTGGAAGATGAGCCCCTCAGGTAAAAAGGCACTCAAAATAGGACTGGAGAAGAGCTGCCTTATCAGAATAGAACCAACCTTAATGATGTGGATACAGTAAAAAATCTACCCCCATTTGCTGACATGGCACATCTCAAGATAAGAAGAAATAGCTGCAGACATTAATAATCGGAACATGGAATGACGAAGTATGAATCCAGGAAAATTGGAAGTTGTCAAAAATGAAATGGAACACATAAAGATCAATATCTTAGGCATTAGTGAGCTGATGGACTGGTTTTGGCCATTTTGAATAGATGATCATATGATCTACTATGCTGGAAATGACAGATTGAAGAAGAATGGGGTGGTATTCATCATCACAAAGAATGTATCAAGATCTATCCTCAAGTACAATGCTGTCAGTGATAGGATAATATCCATACACCTACAAGGAAGACCAGTTAATGCTATTATTTTCAAATTTACACACCAACCCCAAAGCCAAAGATGAGGAAATTGAAGATTTTTTACCAACTTCTGCAGTCTGAAATTGACCAAACATGTGATCAAGATGTGTTAATGATCATGGGTGATTAGAATGCAAAACTTGGAAACAAAGAAGAATCACTGGTAGTTGGAAAATATGGCCTTGGTAATAGAAATAATGCTGGAGATCGCTTGATAGAATTTTGCAAGACCAATGACTTATTCATTGCAAATACTTTTTTCAATAACATAAATGGCAGCTATATACATGGACTTCGCCAGATGGAATATACAGGGATTAGATTGAGTATGTCTGTGGGAAGAGGTGATGAAGAAGCTCAATGTCTTTGGCAAAAATAAGGCCAGGAGCTGACTATGGAACAGACCATCAACTGCTCATGTGCAAGTTCAAGTTGAAGTCAAAGACAATTAAAAGAAGTCCACGAGAGCCAAAATATGACTTTGATTATATCCCTCCTGAATGTAGAGACCATTTAAGAATAGATTTGATGCACTGAACACCAATGACCAAAAACCAGAAACCAGAGGAATTGTGAGATGACATCTAAAACATTCATGAAGAAACCAAAAGGTCATTAAAAAGACAGGA